CCAGAAAACAGAATGGCATCTCCTCTGCATCCCAGCCCCTTTGATGTCAGAGTTCTAAGGTGAAAACACCGTCAAGTGATTTTTCTGAGGGGAAATTTGCATCTTGCCTTGAGGTGAGGGTTAACTGACAGATTCACTCAAGCTAAAAACCTAAACTGATCATGTTGCCACTTGTGATCCTTGTCACAGCCACCTCAGTCAGCCATGTCCCCCATCTGTGAGATAATAGAAATTATACATGTTGGTGTCTACCCCGCTTCCTTGGCACAGAGCCCCTACAACCTCTAGAGATTCCTAAGTGCTATGAGCACCAGGAGCATCTTTTGTTCAAATGAAGTGATTTTAGCTGGAGGAGGGCTGGTGACCAGAAAGACCAAACTGTGATTAGAATTTTGGAGTTTTCCACCTAACCCCCTCCCCCATCCTCCAGAAAGGGGAGAGGGGCTGGAAATGGAGCAATAATTGATCAAGCCATGAGGAAGCCTCCATATAAATCCCAATTTGGGGGGGGGGGGGCTCTGGGAACTTCCAGGCTGGCAAAAACATCCACACCAGGAGGGTGACATACCTCAGTGCCATGAGGACAGAAGCTCCTTACTTGGGACCCTCCCAGACCTCACTCTATATCTCTTTATCTGTCTGTTCATCTGTATCCTTTATCATATCCTTTAATATACTGGTAAACGTAACTGTTTCCCTAAGTGTGTGCACCAGCCTAGCAAATTAATTGAATTCACTTGTTCTATCCGGACCTCAAAAATTGAGGCTGTTGTTAGTCATCAATCAATTGTGCAAGGGAATTCTGAGAAATCCAGCAACCCCTGGAGGAAAGTAGACCTGAGAGTAAGGGATGTAGCCAGGAGTCCAACCTGAGAAGTACAGGACTCACTGGGTTCTCAGATGATTGCCACAGGAACTCGTAATTTACATATGTTCCGTTGAAAAGAAAGTATCATCTGGACGTCCCAGTGGCTCCCAGCCTAGAACATTTGAGAATAAATTGGTTCCTCCATAAAATCCCCAATAAATCTTACCAGGGGGCAAAGACAGGTGCTTCTTTCTGGGATATGTTCCAAGGAACGCCTCCAAAAATGTAATGAAAGCCTAATAAAGAACATTTGGCTAGTGTCCCCGGTGAGCACGACTTCTGGAATTTCTGCAGGCAGAACAGACCCAGCAAATCAACGTGAGAGAGTGAGTATCTAAGAAGGAAGTCAGACACACCTTTTTCCATGTCATGGCAGCAGGACAGGCTGTGTCGCAGAGGGGTGAGAGCACAGGTTAGATAGTGAGGTTCCCAAATGACACAATTCAGCTCTGAGTGCAATGTCTAACTTTCCCAAATAATGGAGTCAGGGAGTTAGACCAGACAATCTTTAAGAATACTTTCAGTCCAAACATTTAATGAGTATATGATGGTATGTGGGTTTTTTTTTTTTCATTCAGTGTCTTAATTTTCTTCCAAGATTCATCCCTCCACCTCTCCCCTGGTAACCATCAGTTCTCTACAGTTAAGAGTTTATTACTTGGTTTCCCTTTCTCTCTCTTTTTCCTTTGCTCATTTGTTTTGTTCCTTGTTCCTCAAGTCCACACATGAATAAAATCACATGGTATTTGTCTTTCTCTGACTGACTTATTTCACTTAGGATTATATTCTCTAGAGTATAATAGATTCATGTTGCAAATGGCAAGGTTTCATTTTTTTTAAGATTTTATTTATTTATTCATGAGAGACACAGAGAGAGGCAGAGACATAGGCAGAGGGAGAAGCAGGCTCCCTGTGATGCAGGACTCAATCCCAGGACCCTGGGATCACAGACCTGAGCCAAAGGCAAATGCTCAACCACTGAGCCATCCAGGTGCCCCAAGACTTCATTGTTTTTATGAATATTCCATTGTATATATACTACATCTTCTTTACCCATTCATCAATCAATGGATACTTGGGCTGCTTCCATAATGTAGCTATTGTAAATAATGCTGCTGTAAAAATGGAGGTGTGTGTATCCCTTTGAATGAATATTTTTGTATCTTTGAGGTGTGTACTTGGTAGTGCAATTACTGGATCATATGGTAGTTCTATTTTTAACTTTCTGAGGAAACTCCATACTGTTCTCCAGAGTGGCTGTACCATCTTGCATTCCCACCAACAGTGCAAAAGGGCTCCCCTTTCTCCACATCCTGGCCAACACCTGTTGTTTCTTGTGTTGTTGATTTTAGCCATTCTGACAGGTGTGAAGCAATATCTCGTAGTTTGGATATGCATTTCCCTGATGATGAGTGATGTTGAGCATCTTTTCATGTGTCTATTGGCCATCTGGATTTGATAGTTATTTTTCAAGTTAGGGACTCTTCCTTCCAACTTAAGCTCCCGAGCATTTTTATTTTTTTAATCAGGAAAGGGTGTTAAATTATCAAGAAAAAAATTTTTTTCAGGATGTTTGATGTTGATTATAGGATTTTTCCTAAAAATCCTCAGTTTCCTAAAAATTAATTGCTTCCATTGTGTTTATAGATTGGGGCTATGTGTATCTCACAAAATGAGTTGAAAAACTTTACTTTTTCTATCTCCTGTAATTGCTTCAATAACAGAAATTTTCTTGTATGTAAATTGTTTCTATTTTGTCACTTATTAAGTAGATGTGAGGTTTGGGCTTCACTAAGCATATGAATTCTTAATATAGATTTCTTAAGGTTTTCTTTTCTTTATCATATATATTTTTCCAATCTTACTGTTTTCTTTTTATTTATTTGTGGGAGAGGGAGAGCCTAAATTTTTGGATATTGAAACCTATTTATTTTATCTCTGGTATTAATCTCTCTTTGTCACTAGTGAGGACTTTTAGGTATACCGAAATGCTTTGTGTTTATGAAATTATATCTTTCTATTATAGGTGCAGAAAACTTTTCCTTTCTTCCCTTCTAGGTTCTTTGGCTGGCCTAATAATTAAATTGACATTAGACAGATAAAAAGTAGAAGAGCAAACTTCTTACATATGGGAGCCCCATAAAAATATAAAACTCCTCCACAATCAGGTAATTGAGGTTTATACATCATCCTGTGCTAAGCTTCAAAGTGGAGGAAGACAATTCACAAGAAGGCGAGCAGAGCAAATGTTTGGTAAAGAAATGTTTGCCATGCCATGCAGATAAATCTTTCCGATATAAAAAGCTATTTCCAGTATTAGCTTTCTTCCTGGTACAAGCTCCCCATCTAAGTTCTTTTAGGCAGTTAAGGGAGAGGTTAAAAAACCACACACACAGACACACACACACAACCAACTCCTCCTGAGTCTGCTGAGCCCCAGTTGTCTTCAGCTAGAAATAATCCACATACCAAAGTGGCACATTTTGGAATGGCGTATTCCACTCCCCTCAGTATATTCCTTTGTCAGGTTCTCCCTTTTATTTTTTTTTATTTTTTTTTTAGGTTCTCCCTTTTAAACCTAGATAGATCTTACCTACAGAGAGATACGAAATTCACTCAAATTTTTCATTGATTTTTTGTATTTTAAATTTAACTATCCAATTCAATGATTTGATTTTGATGTACAATGGAAAGTGACTTTTTGTCCAAGTAGTTAACTAGTTGTCCAGCACCACCTACTTAATATTCCCATATTCACTGCTGATTTGTGCTACCCCTTTGCCTTTATGATACCTTTGCATATTTCAGGGACTATTTCTGGGCTATCTACCCTGTTCCATTTTTCTGTTCCTATATTTCTCCTCCTAGCCTTTTCATTACTATAAGTCTATATTTTATACAGTCAATGGACAGCAAAGTTTAATTTTTTCCCTATGTTCTTTTTTTTTCCTCTTACGTGGCCAACAGAAGCTGTTCCACGGGGTCAAATAAGACTAAGGACAGGAGGCATCATCATTTTTCTCTTCTTCTCAGGGAGAATGACTTTGCTGTTTCTCTGGGGGTAAAGGGGAAAAGGAAGCAGCAGAAAAAGTGAGATGGCAAATAGGCCCTAAAATTCTTCTCTGTTCTTGAAGTCGATGGGCCTGAAAAAGAAGAGTACCTCTTGCTCAAGTCTCTATCCCTGCATGGAATTGGGTCTGTTTGGCTTAAGAGAGACATTGCAGGTCTAGGCCTTACCTCCCACCGGCTAGAAACAGGCCTGGCTTCAGTAACATGGTGATTTCAGGATTATCTATGCAAAAATTTGAGATCATTTATTTAAGACTCATCTCTTAGGAAAGAAGAAAGACAAATAAACAGACTAAAAAGGATCAAAAGTCTCCCTAATGCTCTGAGAGTAGGGGCTTGCTGGTATTAAAAAGGCAGAAGACAGCCCAGTCATGAGCTTGTTTTCACTTATCAACAGGCAAATACTCTACCAGATTGTCCCTGAAACCACCAGGGAGAAGTCAAAATCTTCACAATTCTGCTGCAGTGGAAGCTTCTTAAGACCAAGCTCAGAGACCATGGGGAGGTGACTGCCTGTGGCCAGTGACATCTGAACTGGGAGGAGTCTCTTGCTTGAAAAGGGCAAAAATTGCCAAGCCAGAAGGGAAGTGAAACAGAAAGACATGATCACTAAGGGAAAGCAAATGAGCCCAAAGATAATCAGCCCAAGATACCTGAAATTTAAGGAGAAAACATGATAGAAAAGTAAGCTGATAGGTGTTGACGAACTTCTAAAAAGGTTTGTTATTAATCAAAAAGTAAAAAGCAATTCAGTCAAAACAAAATAAAGAAATTAGATGCAGTTACCTAACAGTTGAGGAGAAATGCATTTCAGAAGATAAAAGAGAATAAAAGTTTAAGTGTCCTTGTATGGGAGTGGGAACAACTATTCCCTGAAATTACCTCATAAATAACCCAGGGAAACTTTCAGTGATATCCCACATATTCAAGGCATAGTTTTCAAAGAGAGAAAGTTCTCTGCTTGTCCTAAAAGATACCACAAGTCTTCTCAGGGCTCTTTCCTATAGCATTTCAACTCTAGCTCAGCATTGGTTCCTTGATAATATCATGCTAGTCCACTCACCTTTCTCTCAATTGACTCCGTTATTTGTTGTCCCAGCTTGGAATACTCTCCATCTGGTACTCCAAATTGTGAATCTACACAACACCGTTCACTTCCTCCAGGAAGCCCTCTCTGACTACTCCAGCCTAGGATGTCTCTTTGTCCAAGTTCTGCTCCCGTGTTTATTCAGGACCCCACAGGCTGCTTGAAGAGAATGCAAAATGCCTCTTCCCCTTGTTCCCAGATGAGCCTGTTGACCCTTGTCAGTGCCTGACGTCTAAGGCTGTTGCTTCATCATCATACAAAGTTGGCCCACATGTGGCATGATTTCAAATCTACTTGTTTATGGCAAAGATTGAAAAAAAATGGCAGTGAAGTAAGCTGTATCAGGAGATCCTCATCTTATCTGTTGTTGATAAGCACTCAATAGCTCAGCTCCTGAGGAGTGCTGCTGGGGACTTATCAATAAAAACATTAGAGGTGGTGCACTCGGGTGGCTCAGTTGGTTAAACAACTGACTCTTGATTTCAGCTCAGCTCATGATTCCATGGTCATAGTGAGATAGAGCCCCAGGTCGGGCTCTGCACTGAGCTTGGAGCCTGCTTAAGATTCTCTCTCACCCTCTCCCGCTCTGCTCTCACTCTCTCAGAAAAAAAAAAAAAAGTTGAAGAATCAACTATGGCCAAGGGACATTTAGACTTTAAATACTGAGAGTTGGGGCACCTGGGTGGCTCAGCCAGTTAAGCATCTACCTTTGGCTCAGGTCATGATCCTGGGGTCCTGGGATAGAGCCCCACATCAGGCTCCCTGCTCAGCAGGGAGTCTGCTTCTCCCTCTCTCTCTGCTGCTCCCCCCTGCTTATGCTTCCTCTCTCTCTCAAATAAATAAATAAAATCTTACATAATTAAACAGAGTTTGTGGGAACTGAGCATTTCAGTCTGGGCAAGGCAATTCTGCTCATCTAGATAGTGCTCTAAAGATCTTGGGGCATTAGCTTCTGCTGTAGTAAAGGGAACTCTTACCAGCAGTGGTGACCATGCAGCAGTCTTGCCCATCAGTACTGAGGCCGACATTCTGGAGCAGTGTGCTCCAGCAACAGGGGACTTTCACCTTTGCCCTGGCAGGCAGACGTCAGCCTTCAATTGGCTAACCCAACTCTCCTCATTACCAACTTGCAAAAAGGTATACTCCAACTAAATTTGGACTTTCTCTTTTTCAACTCCTCTTGCCTGAAACAATAGTGTGACTAAGATAGCATTAATTTGGAGTGTGTCATTTCTTTATGGGCTTATTAAGAGATACTATCTTTTATGCTCTATTGGCTTATAAAACTCCCACAGTGAACCTGTGTTAAATGAACTATTGGCAAAGACAATATCAGTCTCTGAGCATTAATTTGTCCCCAAAACAAAACATGGGAACAATGTACTTGGTGGAAAAAGTAAGACTCTAGGTTTGGAAAAGAAAAAAGTAAGTGAAAAAAAAAACTGCCTAAAAATAAAAATGATTTAAGCTGTACACCGATGACTTTTGTGCATCTTTGGTATTTATAGAATATTAAAAAAAAGAATATTTCGATGAAAAGTTCCATTTTAAAAAGCCAACATGATTCATTTCTAGTCTCCTGATTCTCTGTTTTTGCTCCTAGGCCTTGCTAGCCATTTTCATAAAGATAGAGAAGGGGATTCTGACAAAGAAAAGAAAAGAAAAAAAAAAAGAAAATTAGATGCATTGAAAAGACTCTAAATAGTTAAGAAGCTGATGAAAAAAGTCAAAGGCTATCAATATTTAAGAGGAGAATAGAAATAACTGACACTTTTTCAACTAAATTCATTCTTTCATTAAAAAATCATGTCACACCATTCTTCTTATTTGGTTTATGTTGTTTTTGTGTTTCCATTCAGAGGCTAGAATGTGCCCTGAACGAGATGTAGGTGACCATTTAGCATTTATTTGTTTTCTTCATTTCCTTACCTCTATTCTCCCTCATTTCACCATTCACTTCTTTTTTTTTCAACTGAGATATAATTGACTTATAATATTACATTAGTTTTAGATGTACAATAGTGATTCAATATCTGCATATTTTGTGAAATGATCACAATAAGTCTAGTTAACGTCACTGTTCACTTCATGATAGACATGCCTTACAAAGTAGTTCATTAGTTTTTTGTGGGTTTTTTTAAAGATTTTATTTATTTATTCATGAGAGACACAAAGAGAGAGGCAGACTCACAGGCAGAGGGAGAAGCAGGCTCCCTGCAGGGAATCTGATGCAAGACTCTATCCCAGGACCCGGGGATCACAACCTGAGCCAAAGGCAGACACTCAACCACTGAGCCACCCAGGTGCCCCAGAAGTTCATCAGTTGTTTTTGGTATTTTTGGTATGTGAAAAAGCTTGGGAGTTGCCAGGGCCCATCAGTGTAATTTAGGCTAATTGTAAACAGGCATTTCTCCCTTTCCACCCAGGGGCTCACTGAATTCCTTCATGTTGTCAAGTAATTAAAACTCGAGGTTATTTTGTCACGAGTGTCTTTATTTTACTTCAAATTGCTTATATTTATGAACCAAATATGTCAGTTCAAAATAAAATTCAAAATGGCTGACTAACTCAGAAAAAAATCTGCCATTTGTGTCTGGGGCCTTTTGGCTACAGTATCTACATCTTCTCTGGCCCCCTTACCAAATAAGGTGGAGGGGGGTTCTCCCTCACTTTCCCTGGACCTCAGCTCCCCATCCATGTGCCTACCCCATGGCTGATGCTCCAGTCAAACCAAACACAATCACTATTCCTGACTGAGAACTGTGTCCAGATTCCTGCCCCTTTCCCACCCACAGTAGACACTTAAATCTTAAGGACTTCATTCAAAATTCTGATCAGTAAAGTTTTCTCTTCTAATCATAAAAGTATATACACCACCATAGATGATTTTGAAAATGTTAAAAAAATTAAAAATATAAAGTTCAGCAACCACCCCTTTACCCATAGGTATCAACTTTGTGTAGATGTGTAGATGTGAAATCTAGTGGGTCATAACGAGCATAGAGTTTCTGGTCAACTTCCTTCCTGAATTTCACCGCCCCCCCCCCAACAGCACCCCACCCCCACTCCATCTCCCTTTCCTCTGTTCTCTTTGAAAGGCTTGCCCTGAGCAGAGTCCATTCTGCAAGTTTCATCCTTCCCTTCTCACATGCTAGGTCCCCATCTGCTTGACTGGATTACAGACAATTTCTGAATGGAATTCTTGTGTTAACTTGCTGCCCTCTGGTGAGTTTATTAAAGCATTCCTCACAAACACTGAAATTTACTCTGACAATGGCCACTAACAGGAGATACCTGTGGGTTTTGGGTATAATTCTCCCTCCAAGGAATAGAACCTCTGACTTCAAATTTGTTTTTGGCCTGCACAACAGAAAAATATCTGGAAAATTCCCAAATATTTGGAAACTTAAGTAACATATTTCTAAATAATCCATGGGTTAATAAAGAAATCAAAAAGAAATTAGGTAGTATTTCTAAAATGAATTAAAATGAAAACAAAATGTATCAAAATTTGTGGGATCCCCTAAAGCAGTACTGAGGGAGAAATTTATAGCACCAAATGCATATAAAAAGCAGGGGTGGAGAAAAATAGCAGGGCAGGATGAAAAGGGGCAGATGGAGTATCTTGGAGGTGATATGTTCACTATCTTGGCTGAGGCAATCTCACAAACATAAATATACATGTTAAAATTTATCAAATAATACACTTCAAGTATGTGCTATTTGTTGTTTATCAATACATCTTAGTAAAACTGTTTTATTTTTTTAAGATTTTATTTATTTATTCATGAGAGACACACAGAGAGAGAAAAGTAGAGACACAGGCAGAGGGAGAAGCAGGCCCCATGCAGGGAGCCCAACGTGGGACTCGATCCCGGTATTCCAGGATCACACCCTGGGCCGAAGGCGGGCGCTAACCCGCTGAACCACCCAGGGATCCCCAAGTAAAACCGTTTTAAACAGACACGTGGCAGGGAGGGCACCTGGATGGCTCAGTTGCTTGAGCACCTGACTCTTGATTTCAGCTCAGGTCATGATCTCAGGGTCAATGGATGGAACCCTTGGTGCAGAGTCTGTTTGAGATTCTCTCTCCTTTTCCCTTTGCCCCTCCCCCTGCTCTCTCTCCCCCCTCCCTCTCTCTCTGTCCCTCTCTCTCTCTCTCTCAAATAAGTAAAATATTTTTTAAAAATTGGGGTGTCTGGGTAGCTCAGTTTAGGTTTTGGTTCAGGTCATGATCCCAGGATCAAGCCCCAAGTTGGGCTCCCTGCTCAGTGGGGAGTCTGTTCTCGCTCTACCCCTTTCCCTTGCTCATGCTCTCTCTCTCTCTCTCAAATAAATAAAATATTAAAAGAAAAAAAGCCAAACATGTGGATAGTGGCTACAATATTAGCCAGTGCAGATAGAAAGCATCACTAAAAGAAAACCAAAGGAATAGGTAATTAACAAGCTAGTAAAATCGGGATTCAAAACCTGACTCTGCCTCTTGCTGAGGATCCACATACCTCCCTTTACTTCGCTCAGCCTCGATCTTTTCATGGGGGCAATAGGAATATTAGGACTGGAATATTAGGACTGCTGGATGAGGTGAGGAGCAGTGGGGGGCGGTGTGCAGAGTGGTGTGGGTGGTGTTTGCATGTATTGCAGCGCAGATAGCAGGTGCTCCAGGTGCGCTGATCCCTCCGGCCTCTGGCACCCCTCAGGCCAGAGCCGCTTTCCCCCCCGAAACTGTCTGTCCAGCCGAGGAGGGCAGGCAGCACAGGACGGATAACCAGCCACGGATCAGACCTGACACCACGTGCCTGGGACTGTGCTACTCACCCTCTTCCAAACCTATGCCCAGGCCCTGCCCTCCCTCCAGGAATCCCCCACCAGGGTTTCACACCTGCTTACAGGACACCTGGTTCTTACCACCGGCACAGACAATTGTCATTTATCAATTATTTTTGTTTCTTTGGAAAATAGCCCCCTCCCTGGAAAAGCCCAGCCATACTTACAGAAACAAAATAAGAAGCAAGAGTTTATCTTTGTGTTTACACTTTAAAGCACTGATGAAATCAATAAATAAAAGCCTCTCCATGACCTCTCCCAATACTGACTTGAGATCAGACTATTACCTTAATTCTTTCAATCTATTTTTGTGCCTATAAAGCCTACAAAGCCATCATGATTCTTGCTCCAACGGTTACTGGTTGTGTGACCTTGGGCAAGTCACTTCCCAGCTTGGTGCTTCAGCATCCTTATTCACTGAGTGCAGGTATTAATAATTCCTTTGAGGAATTTGAGGGTTTTTGTGACCTCATGAGTTAATACATGCAAAGACTTAGAACAGCCCTGGTGTACAGAGTAAATGCCTAAGGAGCGGGAGTATGCACATACACCACCTATGCTAGTTTGTTTGCAAAAGCAGGGTCAGGATACGATGCCAGGATGGATCTGTGCACTGGCTCTCAGCTCCAAATCCACTCCTACCACCTGCTGGATGACACTGTAGCTACACCCTATGGAAATGGCTCCTTCACCAGCTGGTAGTTTCACGTTTTGTTCCTAGAGGACACTGGAGAGACAGCACAAGGCAGAGAAGAGGAAGGGCTTCTCTTCCAAGTTCAGGGCTCTATTAATCCTGCTTCTAAGGCACAGCTGCCAGCAGCTTGCAGAAGACCCCAGAGGGCTTTGTCAGCGTGCTGGCAGGAAGCCTCCTGCCCCCCAGCCGTTGGCAGACTGCTGATGGGCCCTGACCCATGACACTGCAGTGAACTTCTCCACCATCAGTGGGCACAGCCGCATCTTCAACCAGTTCTGACTCCCAACCTCGGAGGGATGGGGAGGAGCCTTCCAAATGTCTTCCTTCCACGGATACTCTCCCTCGGCCCTAAAGGTATTTTACTTCTAGTAAGTAACTTTCTTTGACTAGTTAATAATTCTTCCTATTAAACTTTCCATTTCAGATTGCAGGTGTGCTTTCCGTCTCTGACTGGATCCTAACTGAATATCTATATCAACATATAT